TGTATATATGTATATATAAACAATGGAAACAAATGCTTTGCAAAACAAATCCAGCCCAGACTGACCCGGTTTTAGCCACCACCTATTTCTTCCTCATGACTCCTCTGCTCTCTCTGTGTGTCTCTCCAACGCGCGTCACTGTTAAATTGGACTGCTATTCTCTCCTTCCTCTTAGCCTAGTTTCTATGTGCAGAAATAGAACCAAGGGGGGCCAGAGATCCATGAGTCTCTGTTGGGGATTTGATATGAAATCTGTCCTCTCCAAGCTGATGTAGTTCTGTGCGTGCATATCCGTGTATGGCCGTATGGGGCGTGGAGCGTGTGTGTGTTCACTTACGGTGTGTTTGTGAGTGTATGTTGGTCCCAGAGGAGCAATGCTGGCAGAGTGCGTCACTACACGAAAAGCTGCCCTTGCAGAAACAGCATGCTGTATCCTCATTTAAATGTTTCGTCTGGATCACGCCGTCGTGTTGTTTTCACTGAAGACTTTGGAGAAGTTAACCTCTGCCTGTCAAATTGTATATGTGATGTTTTTTATTTCAAAAAATGATGCTAAAGAAAAAAACAAGATGTGTGTCTCAGTATTCGGGAGCTGTGTTGATCTACATTGATTCACAAGCCCTGGCCTGTATGGTTAGTAAGTCTTCTGCTGGTAGACGTATAACGACTGAAAGAAAGTATTATTCATAAACGAAGAATGATCATTCACTGCTCTGAATGCAGCATTTGTGGCGTGTTCACCAGTTTGAGTCATTTCTTCTCAAGCTACACTGAAAACAGTGGTCATAAAGGCGGACGTTATGAGAGTGGAATAAGTGTCAGACACTGTTTGTCTCAACTCAACTCTGACTGCAAGGAGTAAAGCTGTCTGCAGCCGCGTGGTACGGTTCAGCATCCCAGGAAATTCATGAAAGGGGTTCTGAAGCGTCACACAATAAATAATGTGGCTCTGGACTGTGCCGTTGCACATCGCAGAACAAGTCACTTATGCGTCAAGGGAATGAACCCGAAGCAAATGGACTTATGGATTAGAAATTTCAGAAAGATAAATAAATGACAAAGCAACAGGAAAACATCTTCAAGTGTGTTCACTCATGTGTTATCGGCTGTAGCAGGTAACCTAAAGGAGTGTGCATTGTGCTGGGTGTGTGTGTCAGAGGGAGTGGCCTGTGAAGCGGCTGTGCTGTGTGTGCTGCTACCTTGAATGAAGATGGAAGTAACCGGTGTTACTGTTGTGTGCCGTCAGGAAGTTCCACATTCCTGCCATGTATCACACTCGCTGTCATGCTCAGATGAACCCCCCCCCCCCTCTCCCCTCCGGAGGCCCGAGAGAAACTCATTAACGTTAAATGCAATCTTGTTGCAACCACAGCGGTGACCGGGTATGTAGCTTTAATGTTAAATGTCCCTCTTGTCAGTGTTGCTATGGTGTTGCACTTGGTATTTCAGGCATCATGTAATAACCTGTGTAACTAAGGGACATGTGAGCAGATACTGCATTGTGAGATGCAACCGCAATGAGGAGCTTAGCATTCAAAAAAAAGGGCAGTTTTTGAGATTTCGGCAAGCTGAGCTCCTTTGTGGTTTTCTTGACCTTTATCTGGTACAGCATCGCCATGGCAACTAAACTGGGAGCTGCCAGCTTGCATGGGTGAGGGCCTGTGGTACTGTGGTACTGCATTATCAGATATATATCACTGAGACTCTCTTTCCCAATAAGACACGGTTGTTACCTCAAAAAAGTCCAAAAAGATGAATCTCAGGCTGAGGAGAAAAAAAAGAAAGGGGAGATGAAGGGAAATCAGAAGGACAGAGTTTGATTGCCAACATTGAGATCAGAGATGATAGTTGTGATAGGCTGCTACAAAAACACAGAGCTGCCGGCTCTCTGTAATCCTTTACAGATTAGCACACTTCATTACACAGCTCGTTGCACTCGAATCTAGTAAAACAAACACTGATACTCTGATCACCATTACCATCCACCGCTTCACTGCTTCTTCACAATAACTTCTCATGCAATAGCTTCATGTGCTTTTAATAGACCTAGTTGGAGGACTTCATCAGACAATTCTAGTTCATCTTACACCCACGGCTCTGTTTTCCTATTGTTCCAGTGAATAGCATGTTTTGCCAACTCTACCTTTATTAATCGTCCGGTAATTGTGCGGTTAGTGTAGACGGGTGTGGCTCAGACAAATGCAGACTCTGTCCAGGAGGGACGCTCCACCATCTGGCGTAGGAATCCCCCTCCCAGCAGGCTGTGTGTACATGTGTGTGTGTGTGTGTGTGTGTGTGTGTGTGTGTGTGTGTGTGTGTGTGTGTGTGTGAACTTCTTCCAGGCTAATTAGAGTACAGCTGCAGTTGTACAGTACACTGTTAAAACCCTGTTGTCGCTGTTTGACAGACTTGACAAGGGGGAGGGGGGCCGAGGCACTGTCGCAGCCAACCTGTCTGCCAAGGCCATGTAGTGATGGCAACCTGATGTGTGTGTGTGTGATCAGATTAACTAAATCCCTGAGGTGCATGAATATGATCAGACTTCTTTCAGTAATCACCCTAACTTGGACTTGGATATGAACTGCGATTTACCTGCCTAGCAAAGTAAATTGAGTCTAACCTGCCCTGAGGCAGTTGCTGCATAATTACCACACTGTGCGCTCCGACTGCCGTGAGACCTGCTAGCAAGAAGCACAGCTACAACATGCACAATGCAGAGGTGGTGAAGCACATCGAACTATGCAGTTTTTATTTCCTCCTTATCTTTTCAGTTTAAACTGAACTGTTGGTTTCACTGACATTGGCGGACAATGAGCACGGGAGCACCTTTTGAGTCACATCATCACGAAAGGGAAACGAGGCAGAGAGTTTCGAGTGCAGCACTCGAACAAGAATGCTGCCCCGTAATGTGGGAATGTGGGCAGGTGGTTGACTCACATGACAGGAATCTGACGTATGTCTCTGCTCCCATGCAGTCACAGTCCAACCTGCACCTGCCCTTGTATCGCACCGGCTTTGTTGACAATTAGACAAGGCGAGCAGAAACAACGGCCATTGTTGTTGAGCGCATTATTTGCCTGCTGGGCTGTGATCCTTCTCACCGTTTACCAAGCTCGAAAATCCCGGAGATCACAAGGACGTGATGCATGAGTGGTTTCTGAAAGTCACAGAGACTCTGGAGGTCAGGTTACGCCGGTTCACACTGGTCTGCTGGGCTCGGAGGAGAGGAGCAGACAGATCAGAGGCAGCCAGCTTTTTAAAATGTTAGTCATGCTTCTGTTCCATTTTCATGAGCTGTGTTGCAATCCCAGCCTGCCAGTTTATTACAGAGATTCAGCCAGCACTGCCTAGCACACGCATCTGGACTGCAACCTTCCTTTTCTTTTCAGTTTGAAAAATAAGCCTTTGAACCTTTCCGAGCCGGTGGTCTCGAGAGGAGCAGAATTCATTTGATGAGACGTGTTGCTTCTTGTTTACTGGGGCTTAATATTGTATGGTAGCCATAAAAAGGGGTTTCTTCAACCCTTAATTAATCACCGTCTGATCTTCTTCTTCATCTCGACGGTCTGATGTTTATGACGTGTTAAAAAAAAAGAAAAGTTTATGAGATTTCACTTGCATTTCACGTTTCATGTGACATGCAGGCAACGTTGAACACACACAGGAGTCATAATGTCCGATGAGCAGATATTCAGCTCTTCACGTTCCTTGTGCTACCTTGTTGCCAAGCATTTAAAGACATGCACAGTAAGAAAATTCCCTCCATTCCAATTCCTTTTGGTGTTACACCAACAGGTTTAACTCGATTTCAAAGACCTTGTGGTTTCTCACGGTGCAGCGATGTCATGTTGCTCCTGTGTGTCTGATGAGAGCCACCACAACCTCCCACGGTCGGTTGCAGTGTCATTTGGAAAAACCAAAATCAGCTGCTGCCGAGCTGTGCTAGGAGGCTAATGGTGGAGAAGGTGTGTGTGATGGAAGCGTGCTTGCGTGTTTCATGGACGTGTGTTGAGCGGTTAAAAAACTGAAATAACACCCGGCAGTGAAACCTTTGCGAGCATTTACGGAAAGTTGACCACTGTATGGCAGCCAAGAGTGCACTTATCGGGGATATTATATTGCTCTTCAGGGATGTTAAGTGAATGATAGCCTGTCTATCCATCATATCCGGCAATAATCATAAGCCGCAAAAGAAGATAGATTTAGCAATAAATTAAATAGTGCTCAGTGTTTCAAGTATGATTATTATTATTATGTCTTGAAACTACATTTATGTTTTCCCTCTCCTCCTCTTGACAGGTGTTCTGCTCGACATCCAGCGGCATTATGGGGTATCAGACAGCGGAATCGGCTTGTTGCAAACAGGTAAGGTTCCTCTAATCCTATAATTACACATGTGAAAAATCTCAGCTCAACACCACAACACATTCTCTGTGTGATGGGGTAATTACTGCACAACTCTGTTGCTGTGCTGCTGGTGTTTGCTAAATTGGATGGAGCAATGCAGCGGTTTTGAGACCATGACCTATAGTCAACAGCAAAAAATGCTGTTTTCACACATTAACAGTACGAGGGTTTTACTTTGGCAGAGATATCGACAGCACCATTTACAACTAGTAATGCTGCAGTCGATGCCGGGTTGATTTACATAATCAACCCACTAATAATTTACCTATGCCTCTAATCCTTCTCCTTTATACCTATTACTCATAGGATATAAATGGAAACCAGTTTTTTTATCGGTTTTCTTAAAAAAGCAGATAGAAGTTGGCTCAACTTCTCTGCCTCTGATTTATAGTCTGCAAAGCTGAAACAGGAACAGATCCTTTCAACAGAATTCAAAAGGTTACAAGATAAAGCACTGCCTTATTTCTTTTGCAAGAATTCGATCGGAAGGATATCTGAAAGCTACACCAGCAACAATTTTGAGGCGTTTGCACTTATTTATTTAGAACATTCTAAATATGTTTGAATTATTAGCACCACTGTATCGCAGGCTTAAGTGAGGGAGTGACATTTCCTAACAGCATCAGCAGGGCAGGTCAACAGAAAGGACAACACAGTCTGGAGCCAGGCCGGCTGTTCTCCTGAGAGCCTGCACACATGTACCCAGAGCGTCTGAGCACTCCGGCTCAGGGCAGGGTTTCCTGTTCCACTCTAGACCCCAATGAATCCACCTTTTAGGGAGATACCTTGCAAAGGCCTCTCATTGGAGGACAGGACCCCATCTCGTCTCCTTGTGCCCTCAAACTCAGTCAAACACCATCAAACTTGCACACAAAGTGCTATTGAGGGCGAGCAGGCGGGCTTGAGACCGAGGGGGAAAGAATACAGCCCAGTGTTCCCCCCCCCCCATTGCTTGATGCTCTTAGACTAACTTTAGGTGAGCTGAATGGTGTGGTGAGGACAGAAATATCCACTGGGAAAAAAAAGAAGTCAGTGTTCTGTTGGCTTTTCAGTGAATAGGCCATTTTTATCAATCCCACATTTCATTTCCACCCAGTTTCACTGCAGCACGAAGGGTTTATGTTCCACTCCAATTTCATTTTCTATCAGAAACTATTTCTCCTCTACACACCTTTCTCCGTCATCTCCATATCTTTCATGTTTTTCTCGATTCTGTTAGCAGCAGTGGTCAAAAGATGAAATAGTCTGGTGTATCAAAGCAACTTTTTCCATTTTATGCCTGAACAGACTGCTAATGGTCCGGATGTGTCGGATCAAAGACGTTCATTCAATTTCTTTAATCAGCAGGGTGCCTGAATTTGTGAAAACACACTGACCTGCACCCAGATATTTGTACGAAATCTTAACAAGAAACAGGAACCTGTGAAGGGTGTTCGACTCTTAATTCTGTTTGCATTGGCTCATTATTTGAGTTATGCCCACTCCCGCACTAGCACCAACTCCCCCACACTTACACACACACACACACAGTGTGTTAGTGGTGGGGCATGTGTAGCTGGTTTGGCCTATGTACCGTCTACGTTTGCAGGTCTCTGAGAGGCACCCAGCTGGCTTGCTTTAAAGCAGGGCTGCTGTGTGTTTGGTTTTCCTGGCCTGGCCTGGCCCGGCCCAGCCCGTCATGGTTCAGACTTTGTTCGGCCCCTGATCCCCAGGCGACCTCTTTGTCACACTGGCCTGAGGAATGCTGGGTGTCCGGGCCTTGGGCTGTGTGATCGGGTAGGCCCAGACGAGGAGCCTAGGTGTGAAGGCGAGGTTAGGAGGTTGACGTAATCAGGGAGCTGGAGGGGAGAGTCTCAGTGTATGCGTGTATGTGTTTGCACATATCCATATACACTTTCCGGTTTCCCCCAACCCCCTGCTTCCGTCTCCAGAGGGAACAATCCCTGCCTCTGTGAGCACCTGCAGGCCAGGCCCGGCTCTGCCTGCTCTCCTTCCTCGCTCCCTCTGTCCTGGCGGCTCACGTCCACCTGAGAAAGCAAACTGCCAACGTAGGTGTTTTACAGGCGGTGAGAGTTTCTCTGCTTTCTCTGCTGCCAGGTCACCCTCACACTTAAAAAAAAAAAAACACTCGCCACGCACTGCATGATCCAAGTCGTAGAACAAACACAAGTCTGAGTCAGAATAACCTCATGAACTCTGGTTCTGGCTCAGTTTGAGCAAAGGATAGCTTTGACCCTTTTCTTTGGCTCTTGATCAGGACTACTGGAATGAAAAATTTCCCATATCTAGAAGTTAATGACAAGTTGTTTGCTTTTGGGAAACACGAGGCTGACTGAGCACTGGAGGAGCATTTAGACCTGCTGTAGTGTTTGCATTTTGATTGCTGCACTCCAAAAAAACGTCTATCTGTTGTCTATTTTTGACTGGTAAAATGTAATTTTCTTAGAACAAGCCCACAATCAGTGCATTAGATAACTGTGTCCGTTTCTAATGAAAATCAAGTGTTTGTTATTATTCGCTACAGATAGTTGCCTCTCCCTAGCTTGTTTTAAGGTACAGATACAAATAAAGGAGGGGGGGATGATTATAGTGCAGTGTGGTGGTTGTTAGCTGGTGTTTTCATGCTGAGGGACAACAAATGGAAAATACCCTGTGGTGAGCTCAGCCTCCGCAGCACAAGTTATTTTTGTTATTTGGCGACTTCAACCCGTTTCAAAAGCAGCTCACACAACAAAAATTGACATGAGGTATGCGCTCATTTCTGTTGTGTGCGTGTGTTCATGTGTGTCATTGGTGCCTCTGTGTAAGAGGATGAGGTGTTCAGAGCTGTCACTCAGGTTAGCGGGTGAAGGCAGTTTGAGCCGTCAGCATGTGGATGTGGTCTCACCTGAGCTCAGCAGACCTGTCAGGGCCCCGGTACGGCCTGAGCTCAGCTCTCCCTCTGGAGATGACAGGCCTCCGCGCTAATGGCCCTTGGGCTGCGGCTAAGCGAGTGACTCTCACACGCAGCTGTGAACAGGACCAGTCCCGAGGGTATGGAGGGCACGAAAGGTTAATGGAGGAGAGGAAGACGAGAGGGGGTTCACCTAGATGGTGTTACCTTTGGTTGGGGGCGGAGTTTCGAGCACTTTTGTTAACCAGATGGGAAAATCTGAGGGAAGGTATTCTCCTGCTAAGTTTATTGTATCCAAGTGCTTTGAGGCAAATAAGGAAAAAAAAGCTCTTAATGGGATGAATTATCCCTCACAATGGAAGCTGGCAGAGTAATTATCCGCCGCTGGTTTAGCATGGAAGCAGCAGAGTTATTGGGGTCAGTCAGGCTGGATGTACAGTGAGGCGGCAGCTTAATAAGGAGCCGGCGCTCAAAACAGACTGTCTGTGCCCTGTTCTGTGTGGCTGCCCACCTTGTCTGAAACACGACACCAACGCAGACACACAGACACACAGACACAGACGCACGCATACACATACACATCAACTGACATAGCCCCAGTCTTAACATGGTGTCAGTCTGCCATTCAGCCAGTATGTGAGCTGTAAGGAATGAGGCCACAGGTGCTGTGTAAGACTTCAGGATTGAGCGCCGCCAACACATCGGACTTACACTGCACATACAAAGCTTCAAGCCGAAACCGCAAAAAGTCAGCATTGTACTTCGTAAAAATCTGAGTTTTTTATCCCGTGCTGGAGCTGTGGCTGTCTGGATCCTGTGAGTGTCAATCAAACGTTTCTATTGTTGAATCTCTGATTTCCCCCGACACAGTGGGAATCAGTGCTTGATCAGCTGTTTTGGCCACTCACAGCTGCTCCTATTTTGTCCTCGTTGGTATCCCTCGGTGCCTCCTCTCTCCCTCTAGTTTGGCAGCTGTTGTAGCCTTGTTGTCAACTTACAGGAGTTAGAGGAGTCGGAGGGATGAAGGGAAATGGAGGGAGAAGAAAGAGCCACCTGTGACTTCCTCTCTCTGGTCATGCATGGCAGCGAGGTTTAATCTTCTCCACTATTGATTCCCAAAGTCAAATAATTGCATTGTGATGGTGTTCAGCGGCCTCCTCTCCTGCTGAGACAAGAATAGAACGATGACATGATGTTGCATCGACATCACAGCGCTGGTGTATGTGTGTGTGTCTCCATCCCAGGCTGTTTTTATAGGCCACGTCTCGGAGGAGGGCAGCTGTTGGGCGATGATTGGCACTCTGCTCCCCGTCTCCTTCCCCCACGCTTTCTGTCAACGAACCAGCAGCACTGCCCATGAGGGACTGCCAATCCAATCAGGATTTTAAGGCCAATTAAACAAGCATGCGGTCAACCCCTCTTCATGTAAATGTCCAATCAGATCTCTAATCGCCTCTTAAGTTGCAAGCACCACGGAAACTGCACAAACAGCGGGTGGTTTTTTTCCATTGTCATGGGAGTGATCGAGCATTTCTGGCAACAAGATTTGGGGTGATGTTTTCTCCAGCTTCTCAGAAAACTAGGCTGAACACCAATCGATTGCCTGACGCCAAGGGAGGTTGCTCCACTCTTTCTGCTCCGAGTGACATCAACAGATCAATTAGAAACACACACACACACACACTCTCCACGCCCCTCCTAGCCAAACACATGTGCTTGGTCCATACAAACCCTAGCAAGTCAAGGTCAAAGATCATCATTAAAAGAGTGTGTGTATGTGTCAGTAATCTGTGTGTTCGGTGCTATGTCACCAGCCACAGGAAAGTATCCCTGGGAAAAAATAACTACATGTTTTTATTAATGCTGCAGCTTGGATCTGCAGTCTGGAACTTAACTGAGTGCACATCTCACTACCGTTTCTTGCTTTCAGTACAGAGGCGAAAAACAAGCGAGCGCCTTCCTTTATTCCGACCAGATGTGTTTGCTTATGATACGTGCTGGTAATGCGCAAAAGATGATGTTCACGCCCACTCTTGCCAGCCGGCCCGGTATTTGTAGCAGCGTG